AAAAATTTTTTTTAATAAATAAATAAATAATAGAAAAATCTAAATTACAGCAATATTAGAATATGTCAGTCACATAGGAAATATGTTCATTGTATCTGGTGTCATATGGTCAATTCTAATAACAATCATCCAGGCAGACACACGTTTACTTAAAAAGTCTATAAAATCAAACAGAAATCATTTCATGCCACCTAACGCCCCACTTTACCTGCTTTTCTATATTTCGGAGAAGTAGTGTAGGGCTACTAGGTGACATTTCAAAATCATGTTCTGGTGAAGGCTCTTGACTGTCTTGTGAGACCTGCGAAGTCCCTGTAGTGTTTAATGAAGTTGCTTGGTCTGCACATATTATTTGTTTCTTCAAAATTTCTTTTGGAAGTTGACATTCTTCTAGAATCACAGTCTCCTAGACAACAGCAATAAAGAATTAAAAACAAAGTGACTGCTAAATTATCTTAGATGTTAAAATATAAGTGAAATCACACATTTCCTCCCCTACCCCTGGAACGGAAAACAGAAAAGTGGGTGAAGGGAGATAGTGGTTGGTGTAAGACATGAAAAAATAATAATTTTTAAATTATCAAGGGATTGTGAGGGTGGGGGAGGAGGGAAATGAGCTGATACCAACGGCTCAAGTAGAAATAAAATGTTTTGAAAATGATGATGGCAACATAAGTCCGAATGTTCTTCACACAATAGATGTATGTGGATTGTGATAGGAGGTGTAAGAGTCCCAAATTTTAAAAAGTTAAAAAAAGAAATCACACATCTTTATTAGCCCTTGCAAATTAGAAAACACAAACTCAGAATTATAATTTAACTGCAAGATTTGGCAGTTTTACAACATGTAGAGAAAGTTTTATGTATGGGTTAATATTTGGGCTTATACAATATCACAATTTACAAATATATAGTTACCTTTGTTCTTACTGGTTTTAGTTATTAGCATGAAAAGAATATATATTTCCTAATATAGTCTTCAAATAATTTGGTTACTAGCATTTATTTAATTTCCACCTGAGTTTCATGTATGAATATCCAACTTCATAACGTAAAATATCTCATTTAAAAAGATCCAAGCAATCCTTTGTTCCCTCTCAGATGTAATGGATGTAGGAAAGAATGAGGGGAAAAGGTGTGTACATGTCTCTTCTTATTCCATCAACTATCTTTATACATGTTGAGAAGAAATAAGTAATTACACACATATACACACATCTATAAGATATACTTTAATTTAAATTCCTACTTACAAAATATGTTTCTATGGAAAATTTTATCTTGTGCTTCAAAAGTCCAATTTCCAAACCTTCCAAACCTTTTGTAGCTTGCAGCCATGCTATACATAGTTCAGTGAAAAATCATATTTTAAAAATTCAACCAGGAAGACATTCAAAGTCAAATTCATAGTCATTTTTCCCCTTAAACTTACTCTGGATAAAATTCTCACCATGTGAGAAGAGTATCCGATGCTGAATTTCTATAGCACAGAACAGAGAGGAAAGAATATCCAATCATTTGGAAACACTGCAAGGAGAATTAGTTTCTGTTCTAAGCATAAAAATAATTCTCTAACACCCTGGTAGCATAGTGGTTATGCCTTGGGCTACTAACTGCAAATTTAGTAATTTAGTAATTTGAAACCACCAACCGCTCCACAGGAGAAAGAAAAGGCTTTCTACTCCTGTAAAGAGTTACAGTCTCAAGAACGATGATGGCAACAAATGCACAAATGTGCTTGACAGAATGGATGGATGTATGGATTGTGATTAAGAGTTGTACGAGCCCCCAATAAAAGGATTTTTTAAAAAAAGTTACTAGTCTCAAACCCACATGGGCAGTTCTCTGCCTTACAGGGTCAATATGTGTCGGAATAGACTCATGGCAGTGAGAATAAAAGATGAAACATGGTAGAAAACAAATACATAAAGGGACTTCAAAAAGGTTTTGGAAAAATCCCATTTTATCAATCCATTTGTCCACAAACTTTTAGAAGCCCCCTCATGAAGGTAACTTTTCAGAAAAAAATGAGTTGTGGCAATTGAGACAAGTAAAAACTCTGGTATAAGATGAAAGCAACTTCCCCAGAGAGGACAGCTGTTACTGATAACACTAGAAGTTTTTTTTCCCCTTTAGGTCCTCATTGAGAGGGATGCTGTGTAAGAAAATATACAAACAGTTGTCTCAGAAACATCTTTATTATTCACATAAAGTGACAAAAGCTACTTTTAGGCAAGGATTCTTAAAGTTCAAAATATGTAACATGCAATTTAAAATGTGCAAGGGCACTAGTAAAGGAAAACAAAACGATGAGAGAGACCATTTGATTTAGGCTGTACAGTCAGCCTTTCTCCAAAGAAAAAAACTTTCTGAAAGTGAAGGGGAGTCTTGGTGGAAAGCTGGAGCAGGAATAGGGGGGAATGTAGGAATTTGTGATATACCAACAGAGCTTCTTCAAGAACTAAGAAAGGATGCTTTCAACTTCTTGTCTCTGAAAATGTAAGCACATTTTAGAACTCATAGGACCCCATAGGACAAAGCATGACTACCCCTGTGGGTTGTCAAGGCTGTAAATATTTTTTGAACAGAAAATTAGTATTTTTAATTTTTTAAAAATACTTTTATTGGGGGCTTTTACATCTCTTATCACAATCCATACATTCCTCCAGTGTGTTGAGACTGTAAATCTTTATAGGAGTAGAAATCCTCGTCTTACTCCCTTGGAGCAGCTGGTGGCTTCAAAATGCTAACCACAGGTAGCATAACATGTAACCCACTATGCCACCAGGTCAAGCTGGAGTATGGTAAATAAAGGGCAAATGACAAGTTGAAGATTTAAAGGTTGTAGATACACTAGAACATTTACTTACTATACTCTTGCTGACTCAGGTATAAGCTAGCACTTATATCACCATTTGCTGTCTAGCTGATTCTAACTCAAGGAGATGCCATGTATGCTTATTAAAATGAGACATTTACAAATAAACATCTCAACCTCTTTCTGTCTCCCCTCTAATTTAACTATGCAAAAAAGGTAATTTTCCTCTCAAGATACTTTAAAAGGAAAGCCTGTGTCAAGATAGTATTACCCTTCCCTTCCGTAACAGTTACATAATTGCTTGTCAACTTGCATAGGGGTGGAGTCTAGCCTGTCAATCAGGTCGCAGCTTGATGACAGCATTTGGAGGCGCCACAGAGATCCAGATACACACATACTCTCTGCTTTTTATTCCTAATAACAAGACACATGGAGGTACACTAGAGCCCTGGAGCTGGAAGAACCACGTGGAGACCCACACCAGCACTGAGATGCTTACACCGCCACTGGATCCCCAAGACTTTCTACCCACTGGCCTGTGATATTCCTGCATTCAGTGTCATTATGTGTTCCGTGAGTCTGAAGAGGAAATTGTAGATTGGTATTGGACATATGGGCTAATATCAGACTTATGGACTTGATCTGGACTGGGCTGATGTTTTCTCAATATTCAATTGCTCTTATATATGAAGCTCTTTCTTATACATGAGTGTCTATGAAATTGTTTCTTTAGTTCACCTGGACTAACACACCTTCTTTTCTTAGTAGAACTCAAGAAGCTGTGAAAGCAAAACAATATTGTTTTGCTGTGAAAGCAAAAGAATACTGCTTTTTCCTCTTAGTATAATAGCTCAATTAAGCTGCACATAAATTAACATCTAAAAGAAAGGTCGAAAGTTCATCACATTTTACTATTGTATAACTCTAGAAGCACAGAGTTCTTCTGTTGTTAGTTTTAAGATTATTAAGAATGAAATTAAGAGTAATTTTCTTAAACCTTCATTTTTTCCTACATTAATATTTTAACAGCTATTAAGATTTATCTTTTATTTAATCAGGATTCTGTAAACCCTGTGAGCACAGTTCTACTCTAACACACATCAGTGCCGCTATGAGACAGAATGGACTCCAAGCATTACAAATACACAAGAGGACACCCATGATGGTGAAGAGTCTGCAATCTCTGTGAAATCAGATACTGTTCACATCACCACTCCAGTTCACTCTGTCCTAGCTCTTACTCCAGTTATAACACTCCAAGGGGCAGACAAGCAGGCTTAGATCCCTTTTACAGAACATACCAATCAAGCTCACAGAGGCAGAATGTTTTGTGCAAGACGACCAGCTAATCATAGGTAGAGTTTAACATATAAGTTTCTTAAATCAGAGTTCATATTTGCTTATCACATTATCACTTCCTGATTCCTGTGACCTCTTTCCAATATGGGAATTAATTTCTTAATCATTTACATTTTACATTTTTAATGCATTTTTAAAATAAACACTTTAACACTATCACACTGTTGGATAATGTTATTTTTAAAATGCATTTACAAATTTACAAATGGATTTTTAAAAAAATAAACACTTTCCAACAGTATGATATATAAGCTCTGTCTCCCAAGGGGCATACGCCATTCAAGTCTATATAGAATAGACAATAAAAGCATAGCTCCAAACTTAGATTTGTATGAATACGAGTTCTCTCATGTTGGCAGTGCTAGCTATCAGATGGTCTGTGCTAGTTAATCTCTCTATGCTTTTGTTTTCCATTTGCATTAACAGGAGTAATAATACTATTTACTTCTAAGAATTATTTTAGGAAAAAATAAGAATGTACTCATATGTAGTATTTATTGTTTATCATTATTCTATGTGGATTGCATTTGAAACTTAGGTATATAATAGACTCCTGATGTTTCAGGATTTTTTTTAAATCATTTTATTAGGGGCTCATACAACTCTTATCACAATCCATACATACATCAATTGTATAAAGCACATTTGTACATTCACTGCCCTCATCATTCTCAAAACATTTGCTCTCCACTTAAGCCCCTAGCATCAGCTCCTCATTTTTCCCCTCCGTCCCCACTCCCCCACTCCCCTCATTAAACCTTGATTTATAAATTTTTATTTTGTCATATCTTGCCCTGTCCGACAGCTCCCTTCACCCAATTTTCTGTTGTCTGTCCCTCAGGGAGGAGGTCACATGTAGATCCTTGTAATCGGTCGCCCCTTTCCAACCCATCCTCCCAGTATCGCCACTCATACCACTGGTCCTGAAGGGATCATCCGCCCTGGATTCCCTGTGTTTCCAGTTCCTATCTGTACCAGTGTACATCCTCTGGTCTAGCCAGACTTGCAAGGTAGAATTGGGATTATGATAGTGGGGGGGCATTTAGGAACTAAAGGAAAGTTGTATTTTTCATCGTTGCTACATTGCACCCTGACTGGCTCGTCAGGGGATCTCCAGTGGCCTACAAATGGGCTTTGGGTCTCCACTCCACACTCCCGCCCTCATTCACTATGGTAAGATTTTTTTGTTCTGATGATGCCTGATACCTGATCCCTTTGACACCTAGTGA